TCTTAAGTTTTGGTTTTGAGTTTCTTTTGGTTTAATATCAAGTTTGACATGTTAAATTGATTTATTTTTGGAATTTTAAGTACTTTTTGGTTAAGTTTACCCTTTAGTTTAATTTTGTTATTAGTTTAATATATTCGTCATTTTTATCTTGTCAAGAAACATTATTTTATTGTCATAAATACCAGTTAATCATAATAATTAAAGTAAATTATCATGAACATAATTACTATTGTCATTTTGAAATACTTTCATACGCAAAAGCTCAAAATGGTAACAATATATAAGAACTAGAAACAGTAGCAGTATTGTCAAAACTCAAGTTTATTCTTATTATAATTAATGCATTCTCATTTATAATATTATGATTGATCAATTAGTTAAAACAAAAATACCAATATATCCAAAATACAATATCTCAAATATTGAAATTATAATAAATAATAGTAATATATTTATTGAATATTTTTAAAATAAATATTTAATTTTGGTTTGTATTATAATATTGCTATTGCGATTACAAAATTGTAAGCCAGATTAAAGATTTTCTATTAATATAAAAGAAAATTGAAGAGTAATAAACTTAGATCTTACTTAAAATCTATACTGATATTATTTGTTGAATTAAATTTTAGAATCTCAATAAGTTAATTTGAGAATTGTAATTTGAATATCTAATTTTAATTATAATATTAATCTATATGAGATTTTTCTAGTTCAAAAGTCTTAAATTCTTAGAATATTTTTACAGTTTTAGTTTAATTAAAGAATAATTAAAACCAATTTAATTTTGATTTTATTGGTAATCTAAAAATCATTTATATATATATTTTTATTATAAATATTACAAATCTTATTGATAAAATTGTTAATTTATTTATTTTTATCAAATAAATTAAATATAATTTTTCATTATATGATTTTGAGCTTGAAGTTATAACACACTTAAAATTAGAAGATCAGAGGATAATTATAAGTCACATATATTATATATTTGTAATACATAAGTTACATGTTCAAATTTTTTTTGGTGATTATACTGGAGAAGTTTCATAATTCCTAAGTTGACATGTGATTAATTATATTATGATATTGTCATTACTTCTAGCTTAATAAATTAATTAAGTATGATATTGACAGATTAAGAAATTTTGATTTCTTAGATTTAAGTAGAATTTGTTTATTATTATTTTTGGAGCCTTTGTAGCTCAAGTAAGTTTGTCATTTTAAGCAATATATTTTGTTTATTAATAGATAACATTAATAAAATCTATATCATATTTAGTTTGTTGGTGATATCAATAAGTCTAACTCTTATTTTTTTTTTGAAATTACTTCTTTTTATATCATATTGAGTAATTTTTAAAAGATATTTTAAGAAATTTATAAGTTATTTTACTAAGCAAAATACTCAACAAAAAGAAAGTAAAGACAATTGAAAATTTATTTTTTTGGAATTGGTTAAACCTTATATTGTTATATTTGGGATGAGAACCAAAAATTACTTTTAAAAAAATCTTTTTTATTTTATTTATATTCCTGTTGTTAATGTAAACTCTTAAATTAATGCAAAAACATGATTGATATCAACCATTAACAAAAAAATAATTGTTTATTGTTTGATAATAAAATAAACTAAATAAAAAAAATAATTAATGTTGAATGGATTCAAGTTTGGTTCAAAATTTGAATCATGACAAAATTTCACATGATTATATAAATTTTAAAAGCTATTCAAATAAATCAAAAATTTTGGTTGTTGTAAATTATAGCTTGATTTCCAAATAATCATTTATAGTAGAGTTATATCCTATACTAAAAATGGTGTTTTCACTATACAATCAAGAAAAGAGAATACTATATTCAAAATTTTAAATTCTCTAGCTGGTAATATGTCTAATAAAAATGTGGTGTAATCAGATCCTTGTCAAAGTCAATTCAAAATTTATCGAAATTCAAGATCCGAATCTTTATTATATAATCCAACCATTTATTTACTAGCAGAGTTTTGGACCTGCGGGATCTTTATATCTCGATAAATTTCGATTTTATAGAGTAAAGCATTTTTAATTGGATTTTTATCTTAGAAAAAAAGTCCTGTAGGGAAAAATTCGGAGATCTAGTTAACGTTTGACAAATTGTGTTTCTGGCCCATCGCTTAGGTGATGTCATTTTCAGATGGTAAGAATCGGAAAAATGTAATGCAACAAAAATAGTCATTTTTGTTAAAATGTTATTATCATTTGGCTAAAGCATTTTGTTTGTAGTACTTTAGTTATAAGGATTGACACAAGACATTCACAAATGAGTTGTCTGTCAACGTGAAGTCACAGGTATTGCCCTAAATAAGAAATCCAAAATTCAACACAACCAATAATGATAATCCATCACCAAAATCATCAAGGTGTATCCAAAAGCTCCAAAGTTTTGAATGCTATAAAAAAACAGAATGAGCAATAATAGTAGAAATTACCTAGGTCTTCAAAACAATAACCATAATAGAATATCGTCTCCCGCTGACCCCCTTTTGCCAAATACCATAAATAACAACAACAACAACAGCGACGATGCATATACTAACGACGAATCGGAGACGGAAGGTGAATCTATTATAGCAAGGCGTATTTTTGGTGACGCCGCGGCTATAAGTCAACATCGACCAAAGATGCGTAATAATAATAATATAAATAATAATAACGGCAGCATCTACAACAATATTAGGAATGATAATGCTAATAGGAATATTAATAATAATTATATTGACGATGAAGATGATGAATATGATAATGATTATAACGAAGAAAATAGTCGCGATTCAATAACGTTATTAAAACAAAGAGGTGAAAAAAGTGGTGGTGGTGGGTCTAGTGCCATAGCTGAGTCAAACAACGGCAACAGTAATACATGGAGGAATATTTCTGCGTTATCCCCAGAAACACAAAGTATCATTAACTCTCTGAGACAATCTTTGTCAACTGTATCATCAAGTAGTAGTGGTAGTAATAATAGCATTGAAACTGGGAGTAGCGGGAGCAACTATAGTAGTAGAAGCAGCAGAAAACATGTCTCTTCGTCGTCGTCTTCTAGTCGCGCAATGGTTGACGATATTATAAGACAGACAAGAGAGACTGTTGCTCGTGCCGCTCAAGGAAATAATAATAATAACTATAGATCATCATCAGGTAATAAAATATGCTAATAATTTACGAAATGAAATCAATCTTATTACCACTAGATTGTTATAATCGAAAACTTCACTTCTCATTAATCACAGATAACGACACCAGTTTTGTTACTGCCGATACTGTCGACGAAAGTCTAATCTTGTCGGATGATAAAAGTCGTACTACTACAGGTGTCGATGAAGCAGATGAATCGAATCCGGCAGAGGATGATGAAAGCGTATTTTTTCACGCGTCAAGAAATTCTAAAAATGACAGTAATAACAATAATTCAGATAAAAGAACTTTCAATATAACGATAGATACAGATTTGACGCGACCTCCTCGACGAAAAACTCGGTTTGTAGTCAGATCACCTACCTCACCAAGATACACAAGAAAACGAGCTATACTTCGACGAGCTAGTACCAAGTTAATCCCAGCCAACAACAACAATAACAATTCTTCGGGCTCTTCGCAATCATCAATCTCTACAAAATATGCAGCATCTATAACAACAGAAGAGCAAAATTCTATAAGGTGTTCTACATCTGCGACATCGTCAGAAGATTCAATACTGCAGAACGTGAATCCAGTAAAAGCTGATTTGAAAACACTAGAAATTTCCGGAGAACTTGAAGAAATCAATGCACAATTCCAAGAAACTTTGAGTGAGTTCTCGAAGAATTATCAAAAGCGGTACCAAGATTCTACGGTTGCACTCGCCGAAAGATCCCAATTGATGAAAAGAAATCAAGAGTTGATGCATACACTTGCCGCCAAAGAAGAAGAAATCGAGTACTTGAAGAATGAACTTTGGTCCTCGGGAAAAAAGATTCAAGATTATCAAACGGATATGCAGGTGATGATGGAACAACAAAATGAGCCTCTCATTTTATCATTGGAAGATTTATCACGTATTGAAAAAGAAATGGAAAATCAAGAAGCGCTTATTCGTGGATATCAAGCGGAGAATGGGAGGCTTGCCATGCAACTAAAAGAGACTAAAGCGCAATTGGAACATACGGCAAAAGAAAGTGAGTTACAAGCGGCAAAAGTGCTTGGGTTGATGGACGATATTGAACATTTGAAATTGGCGGTCGATGAAAAAGATAGTACTGATTATGTGTCGGAGGCGGTGTTGCAACAGATGGATGAAATGAAACAAGAGATTCATCGTCTTAAAGAAAAAGAGGCGACCTTAGTTGAAAAAGAAGTCGCACTAAAGAAAATGGATGAAATGAAAAAAGAATTGGCAGAGTTGAAGGATCGAGAAAGTAATTATATGATAAAAATTGATGATTTGGAGAATCAATTGAATGAAGCACGTGATGAAAATGAAACTTCTAATCGAACAAATACTGAAGCAATGGAACGACTTACAGAAGAGATGAATATGATGAAATTTACTTATGAATCTCAAATTGAAAGTATAAACAAGGAACTTTTAACAAAAGACGGGCGTGAGATTCGATTTAAGAAATTAATAGCTGCAATGGAGCAAATTGAAGATGCTGCAGGGAGGAACGCAGAGGTGACACAGATATATTCTGAATTACGAAGAGCTAAATTATTACCACCACGAAGAAGACGCAAGTCTGTCGGTGACCCGTCGAAGGAATTACCCGCTTCACCCACAAGAAAACCTCAAAGGAGAAGATCGCCGTCTCAGTCTTCTTTAGGAGGAAGATCTCGAGCGAGTACAATGAGTGGTAGGGCGAGTCCAACGCCTTCTGTTCTATCCTGTATAAGTGGAATCAGTCAAGATGAATTTGCTGATGATGATAATCCAGAAATCACGGCATTAAAAGAAAAAATAAAGAAACTAGAAGAATCGAAAAGTGAATCGGACTCCTCAAAGGAAAAAATGGAGGATGAAGTTAAATTATTGAAGGAAGTGAAGGAAAGATTAGATGATGAAATTCGTACTATTAAACGTGAAGCAGGAGATCGTAAAGAAGAATATGAAAAGAAACTACGAGAAATGGATGCGATTATATTAGATCTTAGTACGGAGAATATAGCCAATGCTGAAGATTCTAACGCTGATAATGAAAAGTCAGAAACTTCTACACCAATAATACCACCAGATATAATCGAAGACTTGGACAAAAAACAAGGTATTATCGAGGAATTGGTGGAGAAACTAAAACGAAAAGAAGAATCATTGGAATATTATCAGAATGCATATCTTGCAAAAGTAGATGAACTAGACGAAGCAACTAAAAAAGCTGCTGCTGCTGCTTCTGCTTCTTCCTCCGCAAAAGATGGAGAAAGAAGTGCAATTGAATATCTCAGTAAATCAGTACCGATGACAGCCGATCTCGCGTCTTTACCAATCACTAGTGAATTTTTGGCTGTTCTCGGAGATGGAGGCGAGTTTAATGATATCGAGAGACTAATTGCCCAATTGGAAAGGACAATTGTTGAAAGGACAATGCAATTAGATGCTGCTCATCAACGAGCCACTGAAGCCGAAACGAAATTAGTTTCTATATCAAAAGAGAAATTATCGTGGGGTGTAGGTTACGATAAACAGGTGAAAGCTTTAAATAAACAAGTACAAGAGTTAAATGAACTTTTACAGATGGAAAGAAAAAATTCGAGAAAAGCATTGGCAGCAGCAGCGGCTGCTAAACAACAATCTTCTGCTTCTCCGATAGTAATTAATGGCGTACATAATACAACACGATCCAAAGAAGATAAAATTACGGCCTCAACAGCAGCGATTGCAGCTTCAACAATAGAAAAATTTCAAGCACATATAGAAAAACTTACCGCAGAGAATAATAATCTGAGAATTCAATTTGAAACTTTACAAACGATGCATGAAGAAACAATGAACATTTTAACAGACAGTCAAAAAAGTTCGCTAGCAAATAAAGATTTAGCTAGTTTGAAGATATTAACTATAGAAAAAGAAGCTGAAATTGGCGTACTCAAAGGACGGCTAGCTGGACTTGAAAACGTGGTGAAACGACAGAGGGCAGTACTAGCAAAGGTATTGCCTTCCTCATCTTTATCAAATGGCTGTGGCGCAGCAACATCAGTTGGTACAAAATGCCTCGTAGAAAATGACGGAATTGATGATAAAGCGCTTAAAGGCCTAAGCGAGGCGGGTGCTCAAATTGTACAAAATCTTCGCGAAGAAAATGCTCTTTTGCGACAAGCCATCGCTGCTGCTCGTCATCAACAACCGCCACCCGACAAGAATGATACAGCAGAGATACAAAAGGTAGCCTCAAAAACCGCTCAAAGTTTTGAAGCGCTTGCCTCGCAAATAGCAGAGATGGAACATCGGTTCGCTGAACGAGAAAAAGAGTTGCAGTATGTGATAGAAGATACAAAGAAGCAGTTGGAAACTGTTATGACTAGCTTGAAGAAATTAGATCATAGTAAAGAAAAAGTTTAAATATTATAATAATAATAATAATTATAATTTTTTATGTAAATAGCTTCAATATTTTGCTTTGTTTGTAATAAATATCCCCTCTAAATTACTACTCTAGCCGATTTCTATTATCAATAATTCGAACATTAAATTTTGTAAAAAAATAATGATAATAGTACTATTTGTTTGCCTATTTATTACTATACAGCAAATTATAGACACATGTATTATATATATAAATTGCTATTCTAGAAGCAACAATAAATAAATGCAAGCCCAGTAAAGTTTTCGAGAACACAGCTTCTTGTTACTTATATATATTCAACTAATCTGTTGAAAAAGTTTCTATTATAAATAGTTTACATTTCGTATTCAATGGGACGAATAATTTGACCTGAAGAAACAATAAGATCGGGTTTTTGATCAAAATCCGTGGTAGGGATTATTTTATCTTTAATGATTTGAGCATCTAGTGCAAGTGCGACTACATATTTTTTTTTATTTTTGTTATTGATGGTTTGGTATGATTTATAATGACAGAGAATAATAAATCCGTGATCATTACCTGTTTTGGGGGGTTTTACTGAATTATTTTTGAATTTTGATAGGTATCGATCATAATATCTGTAGAAAATATTACGAGAAAGTTTCATGGATAAATAAAAATAACAATTCTTTTGTTTTGCAATATCATAATGATCAGAATTCTTCATATCCTTTTTTACCCTTTTCCATGACCAAGTCTATTACCAAATAGATCAAAAGCCAAGCCTTCAAAAAACCAAATTGAGTATTTATCAATTCCATTATCAATTTTCAATATTAGTACGTCTAAATTCTTTACCTGGCATTATAATCAGGTCCAATTGAGTCGCTAATAAAAACACCGCACAAAAAAATTAATTAAATCAAAAAAAATTACTCAGATATTTTTTTAGTTTACCGATTTCTTTTTCTTCATCGTGTTTTGGTTCCGGGATACTCCAACGATTGAGTGGGAGCGATAAAAACTCCTCATATGAATACAATCGTACCATATCCATGATATCGCCGTTCCAACGCGGAACATAACATAACTTATCTATTTCACACGAAATGAATTTTTTAACATAATAAATAATAATAATAATAATAGTTAAATATATGTTGAAAGTGGGAACGGGATATATGTGGATATGGAATCGGCCCAAATTAGGATAGGGGTACGATTAGAGTTAGAATAAGGATAAGGGTTAGGGTTAGGGTTAGTGCTGGTGCTGGTAACGTTGAAGATTATAGAGTGGATTCCGAATCCACCAATATCCCATTCCCACTTACAACATACATATATGTATCTATAGATTTCTTTTCAGCAATAATAATAAACCTTTAGTGAAGATATCCTGTATTATAGATTTTGTTTGTATCTCTCCTTTAAGCATACTAACATATATGCTTATATTTTGACCATTAATATATTCTGGAGTGTTAAATAGTTTTTCGGTCACGATTTTGCCTTTTTTTATCAGGAAAATTTAATGCAATTCTTTAAAAGTTAAAACTTGAAATAGGAACAAAGTACAAAGTCTCACACTTTCGCGTTCTATAACTTCTTGTGAAATCTCACTGAGCAAATGACGCATTTCTTTGCGAAACGCAATCTTGAGTGAGCGAACAGACGACATTCATACTATGCACTATTGTACAAAATAATGTATGCGCGTCGAGGCATTTTATAGTGGATAGTGGAGCTTGTTACACAAAAAGTTTTGATATGGTGAAAATAATTTGTAATAACGATAAAAACTTAACCATTTAGGGGGTACCGTTAAAGCCCAGCCACGATTGGCGCCATCACAATCATTGGTCAATTAAATTTTAGATCACCAACCAATCAGATTTACTGTGACGTAAAAAATCACGAGAATTAATCACATGGCATCGAGCCTCGCTATTGGTCAAAAACTAACGACAAGACAAGAACGCTTTAATGCGTAAGATTCACGATGCGTCAGGATCACAATGCGTAAGGATCACAATGCTTAAGGATAACAATGGGTAAGAATAATGGATAACAATAAACAATATGTAATTATTAAACTTTTATTTCAATAAAGCTTAATCAAAGAAAAGTTTATTTCTTTTAATTTGCTGAAAAAAATTCTCTATTACCTCTTCTCACCACCAAGATATTTTTAACCAGTGAATTTAAACCTGAATATCTAACTTATGAAGAAGATATAATTGTAATCAAAAAAAAGTTGTAATGAAAAAATTATAATAAAATTAAATTGCATCAAGCTCACTAAAAATAGGATTTAAATAAGTTTCCAGCTTAAAAATAAACGCCTTTGTTTGCCCACCATTACCCCTCTCTTCAACTTTCCAATATTTATTGTGCAATCTTTCAGTTAATTTATTTATCATAAGCCGTCGATTTTTCACTCTTTTTTCTTCTCCAGTTTGTTCAGGCATCTCTGCCATTACAAATTTATAATGATGATATACTTCGAAGTCGCTTTCCTCAAATAATTCTTGAAACATCCTCCAAGCATCAGTAGTCAATAACTTAGTGGTACCGTACATATATTCATGGAAAATATGTTTACATGGCAACATATAATGATTACGGAACAGACAATGACAATCGAGCGAAATAAGTTCTGGTGCACCCTTGCCTTTTACCAGTCTATCCATCATTGCGAAAGCCTCTTTGATAAGCATTTGTTGCATGGGGAAGGGAAACTGATGGATTTCTTCGAGAATTTCATCATCAATACCGTAGGCGAATATTTTTTTGTTCGGAAATTGAAGATGACACTTTCAGAATCAGCTCGCTTCTTGTGATCAAGAGTGACGATTTTATGGGAAGCACCTAAAACAAAGATCAAGCACAAATTAGTAATCAAAAAGAGAAAAGCAACATATCACATTAGCATACGAAGATTTCAACTTCTCAAAAATCCCCAACTTATCAAAACTCTTCAAACTTGCCAACTTAAACCTTCAACTCTTACCAATTAATCCATGCAAGTGAGATGTTGTTCGTTTTAGCTCTTTATGATAGGATTCAAGCGCATTTGTAGAAGTAACCTGTAAAAGAAGAGGTGAGTGTTGACGAGCCCAGAGAGCCCATTGATGATTATTTTTAAGATAGTTTTTCTCAATGTATTTACAGATTGTCGGAATCACACAAGAATGGATGGCTTCTTGAATCAATTGCTCGCAACTGATTTTTGTTTTTTTGTGCATCACTAAGATCATAGTTTCTCGAGTTTTTTTCTCATAAATTTTTGTTATCCACATCCGCATAACATGGACAGTGCAGAGAATTATATCACATTGTTGTTCACTACCAAGAAGATCAGGAAAAACTCGCTTTATACTATTGGCTTCAATACTGCTCTGATCCATAAGAATATACCGGGGCATTCAGCGAGGACATTTGTTTCGGATTATTCGTAGCGCTTTAGTAACTGTCTCACTGTCTTCATTACTTACAAAAAAGTGAGTGCCGATATCCCAGCATCCGTAGCCATCGCGAAGATATAAAGTAAATAGGCGCCAATCGTATTTGTTTGTTTTGTGTGTAAAGTCAATTAAAGTAAGCCAGCCGTGATATTGTAGTTTTTCAAATTGCTTAGAATGTGCGAAAACAAATCTTCGGTGAACTGGTTGGAAACATAATAATGCTCAACATGATATTCTTGTTCATTTAAATAGGATACAGTTTCCAGAACATCCGACTTTAAGTTAGCGTTACCAATAAAGTGAGCCTCCATAGATCCATGAAGCTTGTATCTAATATTTGCGACTTCCTCCATTTTAAGTTTTGAATACTAGCACCAAGATTTAGTTTATTAGTTGCATATTCCTTAACGGCATTGACAATTGCTACTGATGGATAATTTTTTATTGCTTCTTGTTTAATCAGAGTTCGAACAGTCTCCGAATGTTTGACTTGATCACTTTCTTTTAGAGTATGTGTATGATTTGGCGAATTATTGTAGCGTTCAATTTGAATCTTTTTGGAGGAAACTAATCATATAATTTTAATTTTGGTATAACAAAGTCCAGATGGTCGAATCATTGTTTTTCTGCGTTTCTCATTTGGGATGCCTTCATTTTGTCGCATGCTTGAGTCTCGATGTTTTGTAAACTGACATGTAAAAACCTTCCAGGAATTACCATTGATGAGTTTATAGGAATTGAATTGAGTCCATACATTTGAAATCAAGGGTTACCAATCATTATCAAATTCTTCATCTGGAACCTCGAATGCATTTTGTACATTAAAAAGAAGAATCCATTTTTTATCTGGAATAAGACAAGAAGTACTCATTGAAAATAGTCAAGATAGTAATAATGGTGATGATAAGAAGTGATGATGGTGAAGATAGTAGAGATAATATAATGGACGCTGTCACGATCGTATATTTCAGGCTCTTCTTGGTGTTGTATTAACAATCGTGACTTCAACCAATCATCTATTTGTGTTTAATTATCAATTTCGTTTGTTTACTATTAAGATCCAGTTGCTTTAGGATCACAGTGCTGTACGGCTTCTTCTATTCTATTAAATTAGAATAGGAAATACTACTACTAATAAATATCTTCCTTTGTATTTACTTAGTGTGTGGATGGTCCTATAGCAATACAGTACTGATATTCTATAGCAACCTGGTTGAATGTCCAGTAGTGCGCAATAAATGCAATGAT